TACTCTTGCTCTGGAGTGTCACTTAATATGTTAAAGCTGTAGTGAAATGCTTCTTCTAATCATGTAGTTATTAAAAATAAAAAAGATTAAAAATAATAATTCTCCAAAGCATTTTTTAGAGTCCTATGTATAGCTAAAGGCTACATAACAAGCAACAATGCCAGATAGGAGATACCTTCTTTTGAGTTGTTGGCCAAGGTGGCCAAAGGGACTCCCAGATAGTAACCTAGCGTAGAACTGGGAAAATGAACAGCAGACCCCAATCTTATCTAATGGAATATTAACTGATTGCTGCTAGATGAAGAACAGCTGACCTTCCTAAAACAAAGACTTCTAGATAGGCTGACTAGATTCACCAGAAGGGCAAGAGTGGGGAATGGCTGGGGGTGCCAACAACACAGCAGAGAGTAGCAGGGATATCAGAGTATAAGGGCTCTAGTGGGGGGAGGGAGGCTACGGGAGGAAAAACAACAACACCCCCCCCCCCCAAAAAAAACAGACAACAGAGTAGGTAGGTCTAAATTAGGAACATAACCCAAAGTATCTTCTCTAAAATGGAAACACTTGCATGCTTTAAGCTGAGTACATACTCTGTATTCGACTTATCACCCAGATAGGTCCACTCACAGAGTACTCAATAAATTCTTCTTATACTAATCTGAGGCTCCATTAATTCAATGTCTACCAGCCTGTTGGTAGTGTTATGACCACTTTCAAATCCATTTGTTGGGGCAAATTATAAAGCACCTCAAATATTTGCAAAAATGCTAAAAAGATTGTTATATGTATCATTATTTTATTAAAGAGAACTGTCTCCAAAAAACTCCCCCCAAAACCTCTGCATTGATATATTCATAGAAAATGCAATTCTAAGAAAGCAACTGTTCCCAATGTAGAAAAAATTAAAATTTAAGGATACTCCTTTTAGAACCTTAGCAATAATTAAGGGTTTGTAAATTTTTTTCAGACACCTAAACTGAAATCATCAACTTTACATCAAAAGCTAGCTCTACATAAAATTATCTGTAATTGTTGGGCATCAGCACATGTCCATATGACTCAACATTCCTTTTATAAAAACAACATGGTACTTTGATCAAACTGTAACCAACAGCTTCTTGGGTAAGGTACATGTTGAAAAGATGTAAGGTTAAACTTTTATTTTCTTTAAACAAGAATCAGAAAAGTTGCACTAGGTTTATTTATGACCTAAGTCATGTGAAAAGTATTATGATCACCTTAAATTTTAACACATTGCAGATCTCTTCATTCACTTTCCCACATGTTAAAAGATCTGTGTTCTTGGTCACATCACAATTTAAAATGGGATGGAATATAAACATGGGGTGAAAAAATTCCAGTCCAGTAGGAGGAAAACCAGCACTGTCAATCATTTGCTTTAGCTTCCATTTTCCCCATAAACCTTCAAAGTGCAAAGAGGAGTCAGGGTGTAGGCATCTGTTTCTGTGACAAAAGTCTGTTACTGACATTTTTTGAATGTATTAGATGCACAGATCTTTTTGACTTAATTTTTCTTTCTGAATCAAAGCAGAATTTTGTCTGAAACTTAAAGTATTTCAAGTTGAACTGATGGATCAAGAAATATTTCACTGCATATGTTGCCTTTTGTTTGACTGAGTTTTATTGTATTGTGTACTATGACAATATCAATTGATTTGTGTGTGTGTGTGTATGTGTGTGTGTGTACACATGATGTTTGAGACATATACTAGCACACAGTAGATACACCCTCAATGAATCATTACACTGCATTGAGCTGAATAAAGCAGAAGTCAAGTCTTCTACCTCCCAAATAACATTTTTTTTTTTCCCTGCTATGCTGTACTGCTTGCTAGTATCTGTTTTAAGACTTTGGTTAGTAGAGTGCTACCGGGAGGCACATTGTCTTGTATTGTCATTGGGAAGAAGGTAAGCAGGACTCCATTATTTTAATGTCTAGAACAATCATAAAATGTACATATTATTGTTTCAATTTTACAAATGAGTTCAGGGAAGTTAAATAAATGGCTTAAATTTATTTATTTATTTATTATTCATTTTGAGACAGGGTCTCCCTGTAGCCCCAGCTGACCTGGAACTCATTATGTAGACCAGGCTGGTCTTTAACTCACAGAGATCCACCTGCCTCTACCTCCTGAATGTTGGGATTAAAGGTGTGAACCACCATACCCAGCCTAAACTGCTTAAATTTAAGGTTAGCATAAAACTTGATTTGGACCATGGAGCTGCCTTAATATATTGCAATGGCTGTTTTCACACTACAGCAGTAGGGGTGTGTAGTTATGACATCGGTCACATTTACTGTGTGGACTAGGCAGAAAAGGCCTATGTAGAGCAGAGCTGAGTACTCACACCTCAGAACAGCTGCTTGCAGATTCAACTCAAGAGTAAATCTAGCCAAGTTCAGCCAATGCTGGCACCCAGCGGAACTGCACCCAGCTGTCTCAAACATATAATGAATGCCCTTGTTTTAAGTTAAAGTGGGTTGGTTTGTTTTGTATTAAGAACAAAGTGATACTAACGGCATGTCTTAGTTTCAAATATCAAATTACTGGAAAGAATTATTATATCCTATAAACCAGACATTACTTTTCATTATAGATTAGAATATTCTGAGACTAGTAACCTTAGTTAATGTTTCATAGGTTAAGTTCTCAGAGATCCAGAAATAGTATTTAGGTTTAGAGCCTG